AACCGTGAGATCATGCTCGGAGCTGAAGTCGGATGCTCAACGAACTGAGCCACCCAGGCGCCCCGTTTCTGTTGTAATTTTTATTTTCTTCTTGGGTTTAGTTTTCTTTTTCTCTAACCTAGCCTCTGGAAGGCTAGGTTATAGATTTTAGATTTTTTAAAATATGGGAATTTATAGCTATAAATTTTTCTCTAAGCACTGCCTTCACTGTGCCTCATAAGTTTTGAACGTTCTGTTATTTTCACTCACTGCAGAGTATTTTCTAGTTTCTTCTGCAGTTTCTTCTTTGACACATTGGTTGTTTAGCATGTTAACATTTGTTAGTGTGTTGTTTAATTTCCACACATTTGTGAATTTCCCATATTTCCTCCTTTTATCAGTTTCTGATTTTCACTCCACTGTGGTCAGAGAACATACTTTGTATAATTTTGGTTCTTTTGAATTTATTGAGATTTGTTTTATAGCCTAGTATATGGTCTATCCTGTAGAGTGTTCCATTGCACTTGAGAATAATGCTCAAATTGTTGTTGAGTAGAGTGTCCCATGGATGTCTCTTATGTCTAGTTGGTTTATAGTGTTGGGTTCTTCTATTTTCTTGTTGATAGATATTCTACTTATTCTATCTTTTATCGAAAGTGGGTATTGGAGTCCGATTATCCATTTCTTCAGTTTTTTCATTTTTTTGCTTGTGTTTGGGGGCTTTGTTGTTAGGAATATATGTTTACAATTGTTAGGTTTTTGTGATGGATTGACCCTCATTATAAAAATATCTTTTGTCTCTAGTAATCATTTTTGTCTTAAAAGTTATTTTAAGTGGTATTGGTATATGCACTCTAGCTCTCTTTCAGGTACTGCTTACAAGTTATACCTTTTTCTATCCTTTTACTGTTTGTGTGTGTGGATCTAAAGTGTGTGTGTCTCAGGGCACCTGGTTGTCTCCGTTGTAGAGCATGTGACTCTTGAGCTCGGGGTTGTGAGTTTGAGCCCCACGTTGGGTGCAGAGTTTAGTTAAAAAAAATGTATGGGGACATCTGGGCAGCTCAGTCAGTTAAGTGTCCGACTCTTGATCTCAGCTCAGGTCTTGATCTCAGGGCTGTGAGTTCAAGCCCCACACTGGGAGTGAAGCCTACTTTAAAAAAAAAAAAAGTATGTAGTTATCTTGTAGTCAGCATATCCTTAGGTCATGTTTATTTATACCACCAATCTCTGTCTTTTGCTTGGAGTGCTTAGTCCATTTCCATTTAATATAATTATTGATAAGGAAGCATTTATATCTGCCATTTTGCTATTTGTTTTCTGTATGTCTTATGTCATTTTAGTTCCTCTTTATCTTCATTACTGCCTCCTTTTGTGTTTAAGTAGACCTTTTTCTAGCATACATTTTAATTCCTTTTATCTTTTGCTACTCTTTTTAAAGTTTTTTTTCTTAATGATTGCCCAGGGATTACAACTGACGTCTTAAAATAATCTAGTTTGTATTAATGCCAACTTACTTTCAATAGTATAGCAAAACTGCTACAATATAACTTCATTCCTTCTCCCTTCTTTAACTATTATTTCATACAAATTATGTCTTTATTGTTTTACTTTAGGCAGTTATCTTTTTAATTAGATAAAAGAAAAGCATTGCAAGCAAAACTGTATTTATACTGTCTTTTATATTTACCCTTGTAATGACCTTTACTGGTTTACTTTCTTTATTTATGTGGGTTGAGTTCCTGTCTGGTGTCCTTGTATTTAGCCTAAAGGACTCCCTTGGTGTTTCTTGTAGGACAAGTAGGTCTACTAGTGATGAATTATCTTATTTTTATTTATCTTGGAATAATTTCTCTCTTATTTTGGGGGGTAGTTTCGCTAGATGCAGTTACTGGTTGGCGGTCTCTTCCTTTAGCACTTTGAATATGCCAGCCGACTGCTTTCTGACCTCCCTAATTTTTAATGAGAAGAACACACAATGTGTCTTTTCTTTTGTTGCTTTTCAGTTTTCAACAATTTGACTATGATGTGTTTAGGTGTGCATCTCTTTGAGTTTATCCTTCATGGAGTTCAGTGAGCTGCTTTAGTGTGTGGATCAATGTTTTTCATCATGTTTGGAAAGTTTCTAGCCATTATTTCTTCAGATGTTCCTTCTACCCCTTTCTCCTTCCCTTATAGGACTCCGATAATGCCTTTGTTGATCCACTTGGATGGTATCCAGTAGGTCTCTGAGGTTCTGTTAATTTTGTTAATTTTGGGAAGGGGGGTTCTTTTGTCCTTTTTTTTTTTTTTTTCCTTAGACTGGATAATCTTTTTTTTAAGTTTATTTATTCCGAAAGGGGGGGGAGAGGGGGAGGGAGAGAGACAGAACGAGCCGACGAGGGGCAGAGAGAGAGGGGGGACAGAGGAACCGAAGCAGGCTCTGTGCTGACAACAGAGAGTCCAATGCAGGGCTTGAACTCCTGAACCACGAGATCATAATCTGAGCCGAAGTTGGACACCCAACCAACTAAGCCACCCAGACGCCCCTAGACTGGATAATCTTAATTGACCTTGAGTTTGCTGATTATTCTGTTAGCTCAAATCCGTTGAGCCCCTCTATCGAATTTTTTATTTCAGTTACTGTGCTTTTTGACTTTAAAACTTGTGTTTTTTTAAAGTTTCTTTATCACTGTTTTCTACTTGGTGAAATATTGTGCTTATAACTTTTATTTTTCTAGACATGCTCTCCTTTAGTGTTTTGAACATATTTATAATAGCTGACTTAAAGTCTTAGTTTAATAAGTCCAAAGTCTGGACTTGCTCAGGCTGCTTTTTCTTTCCACATATGGCTCATTCTTTACTGTTTCTTTGCATGTGTCTACATTTTGTGTTTAAAAAATTGACTTTTAAAACGTGACAACTCCTTTAAAATGTGATTCACTCTCTTCTGGAGAGTTAGTTTTTGTTGTTTGTTATTGCTGCTATTTTTTAGTGACTTTTCTGGACTAATACCCTGGTTTGTATTTTTTATCATGTGTGACCACTGAAATCTCTGCTCATTTAGCTGAGTGGTTCGTGATTGGACAGAGGTTTCCTTAAATATGTTGAAGCAATAAATCTCCCATCTTTTGCTGAGTTGCTTTCTGTATGTTGGGGCATGCTTTCATTGTGCCAGCGGTTCACAACTCTGTTTTAGCCTTCACATCATGCTGTGCAAAGCTTCAAGTTTAGCCAGAGTGAGAGATCAGGGCCTTCTGATCCCTTTTCTGGGCGCACACACAGTCCTATACAGGTGCATGACACTGACTCCCAGAAATCTGTGGGAGCCTTTCAAAGCCCCTTAGGGACATCCCATTCCCCAGGTTTCCCTTTTAAGTTTTAGGTCAACTCTTTGTAGCCCCAGGGTGGTAATGGTACCTCAGGCAGCCACAACCTTAAACAGTTCTCCCTTACTGTTTGGGACAAATGCACTGGAGATAAGGCAGAGGAAGCTTTGAGTCAGGTCAGATAAAGACAAGTCTCCAGAAGAGAGCTTTCCAGCAGGCTGTCATACAGGTCAAATGGTGACCATTCCCTGGGGATGGCATTTTGGGCACCTGTGAAGCCATCTGGCCCCTTTGGTGTCTTCCAGGCTGCTGGTTTTCACAGCTACCATAGTTGCGAGGCTGTTGATTTTCAAGGTTACCGTGGAGCTACCTGTGGTGCCGGCAGAGGAGGATGGGATTAGTGCAAGTTAAAACAACATGGAGGTAGTTGCCCTTACCAAGATGAAAACATTTTTCTTGAATAAATGCTCCTCGGAATGTTGAAAGTCTTTAGTTAATTTCCAGAGTTCTGAAAAAGTTGATTTTGACAACTTTTGGCAGTATTATTGTTGCTTGAATGTAGGAGCAGATTTTTGGAGTTCTTTATTCTGCCATCCTAAAAGTGAACTACCTATTGGTACTTCTTCAAACGAGGAATCCTAATGAGACACATGCTGTGTGCACTCTCGCCTACTTTGTCTCGTGTTCTCTCTTCTGTCTGTGTATTCTACGTCTTGAAGTGGCCCCAAGGGAGTGTTCAGGAGCACAGGTTACTGTAAACCAGTGGCCATGACCTTCACTTTATTAGAAATGAGTCTCAACCTTTAGATGGGCGGCAAGTGTTAAGCACTTGACCCCACAGACTCAAGATCATGTTGATTTGCTGGATCATTCTCTCATCTTGCCAACAGAGTCCACCTTTTGTACAACTTTGTACGGTATCCTGTGAAGAAGTAACTGCTTTGTCCCCTGAGTTAGGTTTGGAGGACAGAATACTAATAGCAAAAATGGCCATTTCCTCTGGATACTGTTGGGATTTGAAATTCAGTCCAGACAGAACATTAATTTCTCTCTATCAGACGTTATGGTCCTGGTGAACAGCTTGAGTTTTGTGTAAAATTTTTTTTTTAGTCTATCCACTTAAAGTCTAAGTTTTTCTACATAATATAAATTTGAATTTCTCGTATGACCAGAAGTGTTGAGTTATGGATATTGATTTTCTTACAGCCTTTTATTTCAGAGACAGTCAGTCTCCACTTGTATAAGAAGAAATATAAAAAAGAAAGAAAGAAAGAAAGAAAGAAAGAAAGAAAGAAAGAAAGAAAGAAAGAAAGAAAAGAAAGAAAAGGAAAGAAACACAAGTGCCCATTGGTAAAAGGAAAGTGAAGACATTCTGGTCTGAAAAACTGTACAGTTGCAGTTTACATTTTTTGCTGTTTATGTATTTGTGTATTTTCTCCTTACATGTTATATAATAATTTCCTTACATGTTATATAATAATTTAACCAAGGCATCTAACATGTGGTATGAAATGATAGAACAACAGTTTGGAAATCTCGAAAAATAAAACTGGAAACGTTTGCTTGTATTTCTTTTCCACCTCAGAATGTTTTGTTAATGAGACGTTTTATACTGCCATAAACTCGGGGTAATAATAAAGGTGTTGATTGATTTTTGGATGGCGAGGGGCTTCTCTAATTGCAGATTCGACATTTGTGTCACTTGTGCCGTTTTAGGTGAGCAAGACGTGGAAGGTGATTGCCGAAGACGAAGTGCTTTGGTACCGGCTGTGCCGGCAGGAAGGGCACCTTCCCGAGAGCAGCATCTCTGATTACTCGTGCTGGAAGCTCATCTTCCAAGAGTGCCGAGCCAAGGAACACATGTTAAGAACCAACTGGAAGGTAGGCGGTGGCCAATCTCGTTACCTGTACTGAAGAATAGCCGGCAAGGACGCGGGAATCCAGGCCCCGGATTAACCCCGCAGGCCCTCCGATTACGGCCTGAGGCCAACTAACTGCCAAAAGCCAAGAGGAGTGCGGTGAGCATCCTGTCGGCTGCCGGTGGTTCGTTGCCCGTTTTGCTCGCCGTTAGGGTATCTGCCCCCCTTTGCAACCGTGCTGTTGGGGAGCATCCTGTTGTCTAGGAGAGGAGGGGTGAGGTTGGGGTGCCGCCCCCTCCCCTCTGATGGCTCGTGCTCAGTGCAGTCCCCTTTCACTTTCACCGACCCTGACCCCTAACGCATCAACAAAGCAAAAGCACCACCTGAATACGAAAGCAGTGCCGCAAATGTGATTTCCAGGGACTGCGAGGGAGGTTGTTAAATGTCTCTGAGTCCTGTCTTCTCTCCCCTCACATAACCCACTGGCTTGCTTCCATAGCATTTATCACTTCAAAATCTCTACAGAAATATTAGATCACAGCTAAGAATTTGCACGGTGCTGTGTTTCTGTAGGAAATCTCTGTCAAGAACGGCGTTACGTAAAGCTGTTCGAGGCCTGACAAGACCACAGTGCGGTGGCGGCCCTCCTTCCTACCTGGTAGCTGGAGACGCCCTCGTAGGGCAGCGGTGGAACCACACCTACTGCCTCCACTCCTGTAAAGGTCGATCCTAACGGACTTTGAGATCACAGGCTTTTGCTCATTACTGACGGTGACCCGTTGCCTGTGTGCGGGTCCGTCCTCGGTCACCTCATAACCTCATTAGTGACCGATGCTCTTGGTCTGGGTAAACTCACAGTTTCTAGTCAAGCGAATAGGAGCAGTGTTTCTCAACCTCGCATTAGGGGCCAGACAACTCCTTTGGTGGGGGCTGCCCTGTGTGCGTGGTAGCATGTTGAGCAGCTTCCTTAACCTCTACCCAGTGGGTGCCAATAGCATCCTCCACCTACCCCACGTCGTGACAGCCACAGATGGCTTCAGGCGTGTCAGATGTCCCTTGGGGCGGGGGCACAATGGCCCCCGGCTGAGAACTGCCTTTCCAAGGGGAACGAGCATAGGTGTCCTTTCATAGGCTGTTAAGACACCTCTGAGTAAAAAGCACCCTGGCCCCGCAGCTGTGTGCTCACCAGATGATAGCCTCATGTGGAGACCCCTCCCCACCCAGCCTTCTTGCCCATGTGCTTGGCTGGGCCTGCGTGAGGGAAGTCGGTGAGAGGCAGCTGTGAGGGTTTGACAGAGCTGCTTAGACAAGCTGGGCCCGAGCCTGGCAGGAAGGGCTGGAATTGAAGGAGAGCTGGTGAGTTAGCTTGAACTGGGGCCTTTCCCTCCGGGAAGGAGGGATATTTTGACTTGTGCACGTGGGTGCTGCAATGGTCTGTGTACATCGGCTCGAATTCTGAGCCGTCAGACCCTGAGAGAGCGCAGCCGCTAAGTTTTCTGCTTCCTCTTTGGTGGTGGAGAAAGCCCCAGAGGGAGGCAGGTACCTCCTCATCCGCTGGAGGTGGCAGCAGTGAAGGTGTCCGGAGCCCTGCCTCCAGGCATCTGGCCCTCCATAACCGCTGCAAGTCACATACAGTTGACTGGAACGTCTAGTTGTCTTTAGCAAGTATAAAGCCATTTGTTTGGTTAGCGCTTGATAAATGAGTTAGTGGACTGGAGTCAGATGGCTCAGCCCCTTTCCTGGCCCTGTTAACAGTGAGGACTACGAAAGTGAAATGTGAAATGGGGAATCCTGCCCTGACTGTGATGGTGGGATTCTTACTGTGATTCTGGAGAGAAAGCTCCATCGAAACATGAAAGGTGGTGTTAGAGCAAGTTGCTTTCCTTCGGATGCTCCCGTTTTCCCCTCTCTAAAGTGGGGGCTGATGGTAGCCCGCTCATAGGGTAGTGGCGAGGATGACTGTTTAATGCTCCTCCCGTACAGCCTGGCCTGTGGCCGGCATGATGATCTTTGTACAAGTGACTCAAAAGTCAGCAGAGTCCATATGGTGGAAAACCCATCTGCTACCTGCCGCCTAGTCTCAGGAACCACACGTGTCCTGGGCTTTAGGGTTCCCTTTAAAAATACCAATTCCACGAACCTCTGACCTTGTGGTCTTCTTCCTTTCCCCATACTGACTTTTGTCTCTGTGTGTACTCTCTCATCGTATCCTCTGAGTGTTCGTAAGGGCTGTTGGCACGTAAAACACCCTTAAATACCTTCTGTCCTTGGAACTGCGCTTTCGAAACAGACTTTGTGTTTCTTCAGATACGTGCCCCCGCCAGCCTAGTGGAGCGCACACCTTGCCTTTCTAGCCTGTAACCCCCCTGAGCGCGGGAGCAGCGTCTCCCATGGCCGTGCCCCCGGGTTCACGGTCTTCTTGTGTGGGGTAACTCGTAAATGTTAATACCTTAGCAGATTAGCTGTCCTCGTGGTCCTTTGGAACGCCCCGGTGACTTTGAGCACAATACCCGTGGTAAGACACGGCCGTGGAGCGTAGCTGAGCGCGGAGTGCTGCCGTCGGGGTGTCCCGAGAGTACGACCAACTGCATCCCCCTTCTCCTTATGCAGAATCGCAAAGGTGCCGTGAGCGAACTGGAGCACGTTCCCGATGCGGTTTTGTGTGACGTGCATTCCCATGACGGCGTTGTCATTGCCGGGTAAGCAAAAACCTTTTTTCACATAGTAATTAACTCTTCATCTTAAGGTCTTTCGTTTCTCACGCGCCACCCTCTGAGTCCCAGTGCCGCGATCTTCCCCTGAGAGCGTGTACCTTCCCGCCTCAGCCCGGGTTTGAGACGGACACTCTCCATGATTCTGCCGTCCGGGATCGGAGTCTGAAGTTGGTGGTGAGAAGCGCGCGGTGTAGCCTAGAGCTACAGTCCATTTGTCTCCATGTGTCTTTCCTGGCTTTTAAATCACTCTTGTGGTGTGTTAGGTTAGATTTTCATTAAGGCAAACCGTCAGTATTTTATGAAGACATAAAAAAGTCAAGCAAGAATGATACGTGTTGGCACAAACAGAGCCCACTCTTACTCTTGTTCTGAGGCCGTTAGGGGGAAGGGCCGAGGCCACACATAATCTTCCTGCCCCGCCACACAGTGTGTATCTGCTGCTTAACTTGTCCTGAAATAGGCTTTTTAGTTATCTCCATCACGAAGAAATTGAATTTTAGCTTCTGTAAATTCCAGTGGCTTCTGTCCCAAAAACCCCTTTCGTGAATTCTTCCTGTTTGACTATAGAAATGTGAAACAGTTTGTGTATTTCTTTAATGTACAGTGAGGAGACCTATTTCATCTTTGGATTGAGAAGCAATCTTGACAGATCTCATGTTTTTCACTCGTACGTGGATCTTGAGAAGCTTAACAGAAGACCATGGGGGAGGGGAAGGGGAAAAAAATAGTTACAGAGAGGGAGGGAGGCAAACCATCGGAGACTCTTAAATACAGAGAACAAACTGAGGGTTGATGGGGGTTGGGGGAGAGGGGAAAGTGGGTGATGGGCATGGAGGAGGGCACTTGTTGGGATGAGCACTGGGTGTTGTATGTAAGCCAATTTGACAATACATTATATTTAAAAACTAACAAATTTTCAGGAAAAAATGAATAAACATTAAAAAAAAAGCCGTCTTGAATTACAGTCTCAAATTGTATACTTAACATTTGAAGTGGAGACCAGAATACTTAAAACCCTGAGTCTGGATTAGATTTGGGGTGAGTCCCCTAGGAGAGGTTTCTACTTGGAGGAAACCAAAAACAAACCTTGGCCTGAACAGCTTGGTAGTAGGTAGTCGTTTTCTTTAAAGAGGACGCTTTCGGGGCGCCTGGATGGCGCAGTCGGTTAAGGGTCCGACTTCAGCCAGGTCACGATCTCGCGGTCTGTGAGTTCGAGCCCCACGTCAGGCTCTGGGCTGATGGCTCGGAGCCTGGAGCCTGTTTCCGATTCTGTGTCTCCCTCTCCCTCTGCCCCTCCCCCATTCATGCTCTGTCTCTCTCTGTCCCCAAAATAAATAAAAAACGTTGAAAAAAAAATTAAAAAATAAATAAATAAATAAAATAAAGAGGATGCTTTCCTTTTTTTTTTTTTTTCCCATTCTTAATGTTTATTTATTTATTTACTTTTGAAAGATAGGGGGCAAGCAGGGGAGGGGCAGAGACCAAGGGAGACACAAAGTCCAGAGCAGGCTCCAGGCTCTGAGCTGTCAGCAGAAAGCCAGATGTGGTGCTTGAACTCACAAACTGTGAGATCATGACCTGAGCCAAAGTCAAACGCTTAACTGACTGAGCCACCCAGGTGCCCCAAGAAGACTCGATCCTTAAGCATTCCTCGAAGGACACCATTTGAGTTGAAACTCCAAACAGGTAAATGTTCCATGATCTGCGGGGCCTAAAAAAAGTATGTTTGCTTTAAACAAGATCTGCTCAGGAGGAACACTTTTCCTTAGCCTTTGTTTTGCTGGCCACAATTTAGAGGTTAATGCCCTTGCTGTAAATGCCATAGAACTACTGTTTTTAGAAAGATGAGTGGACCACAAATACGGAAGTGTGGCTTTTGGCTTCTGTCTCTCGTTGCTAAAATGTGGGCCTAAGAGCTCATGCTCCATATGGTCCTTTCTGCCCACAAATTCTAAGACTCCATGGTAACTTGGAAAGGACCTCTGTCCTTCTAGCTTAAAGGGGTCTCCTGGTGTGTCAGGAGGCCTTTGAGGACAGAATATTGAGTTTGGAATGAGAGTCATAGAAGAAATTATGGCTAAAGGGGACTTTAATCTCAGAAGCCAAGTGTGAATTGATCTGGACATGGACCTCACAAGGGCAGGCTGGCCACGAGTCCAGAGGCCAGCCCTTTCTTTCCTGCCTGTCCGTTCCCCTGAGGGCTTCTCCACGTTACAGATGATGCCAGTGCAACGCAAAGCAGTGGCAGAGTTTGGTGGGTCGATAGGATGAAGCAGGACCTGTGGGTCAGAGAGGCTTCTCCCGACTCCTCTTCCTAAGAGAACCTTGCGTTTACGACCTGGCATTGGGTACTTTGGTCTTGCTTGTGCGTAGAGCATCTTGTGTTTATCATTAAAATTTTATCTGGTGGTTACGATGCTTGTTTTCTGGGTCGGATCTTGGATCCCTTTTCATTTGAGACAGCGGTGTTTGTGGTTACCTCATTCCCAATCAATGTCGTATTCGCCCGGCTTTGTGCAGCCTGTGCATCTCCAAGGACTTGCCTGCAGAGACGCCACTTCGCCATCTCTTTCCCCCGTCCTTAGCCTGTGTTTCTCTGATTTTGCTTCTTTTCCTTTCTCTCCCTTTGATCATAGGCAGAATTTGTTCGGGGGCTTAAGTTTTGTGCACCTACAGCTAAACCGAAATCTGTTAAGTTTGTTTCATATAGTAGACAGCAAGGGCTGTTAACGAAACCTCTTGCTTCTTCCCGTCGTTTTCAAGCCTCTGTGTAAAAGTTCCTGCTTTGGAGTCACATTGCTAAGGCCTAGAGTAATTTGCATTGCAATTAGCCTTGCAGCCTTGGGTCTGCCTCGCTCTGCCTCACTCAGAACCAGAGTAACCTTCAAATACTCTTTCACTCAAACCCGCCCGAGACCCAGACCTCAAATGAGCAGGACCTGGCCGACGCCTCCTCCCTCAGACTTGTCTTCCAGCACAGTAGGCAGATGTTATTCTTAGGGCTTTTGGTCTTTTGCTCTTTTTTCCATGAGTCTTCGCTTCCCTTACTATCTCACAGATGGTAATTTCAAGTTACCTTTTCCTGATGTTCTGAGCCCTTTGAAATTGGTTTCCAACCTACCTTTCTCCTGATTACTCTCCTGAGGGTAACTTTGGCTTTTCCCACGGTGCCTCAGTTGCCTCTGGCCATGTCTTCTTTATTTTTTAACATTGAGATATAAATCATACACCATAAGATGTACCCTTTTAGGTTGCAGAAGTCAGTAATTTCTAGTATATTCACAAGGCTGTGTAACCTTCTGCCACTGTCTCATCCAGAACATTTTCATCACCGTAAAAAGAACCCAGTCCCCATTCTTTAAGGCCCAACTCAAGCCTTGTCTCCTCCCATGGGCATCTCTAGCCCCCTGGCCTATTAACCCCACCCCAATATCTGCCCACCTCCTGACTCCTGGGGAAGTGACTGTCTGCAGCTTCTAGCACAGCTTTGCCTTGACATTTTTGTTTTCTGCTGTGGCTTTTCTTTGAAATAATTCACAGCCTTGTATTTTCTGTGCAGTTAATTTGTAAGAATTTTTTTTTTTTTAGTTTATTTGAGAGCAGGGTGAGGCAGAGAGGGAGAGAGAGAGAATTCCAAGCAGGCTCCACACTGTCAACGCAAAACCCGTCAAAACCCGTCGTGGTGCTCGAACTTACATACCATGAGGTCATGACCTGAGCCAAAACCAGGAGTCGGACACTTAAATGACTAAGCCACCCAGGTGTCCCTGTAAGCATCCTTTTTAAAACTAGGGGTGGCATGTGATATTTGATTAACTGCCCCACAGTGCTTGTACATCATTTTGTCCGAAAGAAGTACTACAATTTAATATACGGACCCCCATCCCACCTTATACCGCATGTTACATGGTAAACTGGAGAAATCCCTAATTTCTCTGGTCTGTTGTTTGATTTCTTAGCCTTTTCAAGAAACTTGGAATCATGTAGTTTTAAACCTGGAAGGAGCTGTCGAGGAAACTGTTTCAAAGCACGCTCGTTTTGTGTGGCTGACCGAGGCTGAGGGGTGTGGCGAGCCGGGACTGGCGTGTGCGTGCACGGCCGCTCTGCCGTTCGTCTGCAGTGTCCACGTGGAGAGCCGGGCGCCAGGGCTCCCTTCTCGAGTCCTCATTTGCTACTATGATGGCCCGTACTACCAATCTTGTTTAAAAATTATAAAACACGTGCTTATTAAGAGCCTTTAAATTCCACAGAAGCGTGTGGAATAAAGAATGACACGTCCCTAGCCTCGTTTTCCTAGGCTAGAGTCCCATTTGTGGAATTGGTGGATTTAGAGGAATAAATTTTCACATTTTCCAGATTAAGAAATTATTATTTTTAAAATATTTTTTGTATTTTTTTTATTGAATAGAGACTGAGACTGTGCGAGCGGGGGAGGGGCAGAGAGAGAGGGAGAGAGAATCCCAAGCCGGCTCTGCGCCAGCGGCTCAAGGGCTCGAACCCATGAAACTGCGAGATCATAACCTGAGCCAAAACCGAGAGTGGGACGTGTAACCGACTGAGCCACCCAGGTGCCCCAAGAAACTACTTTTGAA